AAAAAAAAAAAAAAAAAAAAAAAAGCAGAATTACAAACTAGAATAGCTCCTACTCAAAATGAAGAAAATGCTTTGGACTCCATCCAAATTTAGTTTAGTGTTCTTTAAAAAAAATTCAAAAACATTTTTTTTCTTTCTTCCTTGAAGCAAATCTCATACACTTTGAGAGCACTGGAAATCTGTAACTTCAGAGCCATTAGGTCAAAAGCATTACTCGTCCCCACCCATCCACAATACTTATACATATAGTCCTGCAAAAAACACACTCATGCACACTCACACGCTCTTCCACACACACAACGGGTAATGCCTGAATTGGGAGAAAGTTTTCCAGGCCTAAAAGCGGGGGCAGATGAATTTATGATTAATGTTGCCCTAAAGCTCTATGACATTCAAGCTGCATTCAATTATATGATATTATAAAAGTGTCACCTGGTAAAACCGAAAACGAGGGTTTAAATCATTGCTCAAGTGAAAAAGTAATTTCAGACAAAAATATCTATCATGTATAAAATATTTATTGAGTGCCATCTACTGTTGTATATAATTTATGAAATACCTCTTGGATAAGACAGAACAACTGACAGAGCAGAGCTGGCCACCTGCCCCACAAGGCACACTGGGTCCCACAGAGGCAAAACACATGGAGCTGCACAAACCTTGCACAGAAACAAAGCTTTCGTCAGACAACCTTGCTTGAATGAAAAATAAACTATAGACTAAAACCATCAAAATGTAGTATCTGCCTACTTTAAACACTGTCTTCATTAAATTTGCAAATAATATGCTAAGTATGTTTTTCTTTCACCTCACAGACACCTATTCACGTAAAATACCTCTGAATTTAAAACATGTGTCCAGTGCTGGGGCTGACACAGAATCACCTCTTCCACATTTGGGAGCTCTGGAGGGTTGCCCAGATTCCTGGGGTGAAGACATGACTCATGGGAAATTCCCCTGGAGAACAAAACTTGTGCATTAGACGAAGGGTTCTACCTCTTTTAATCACATGTTCTTCCTATCTATCACAGTACCTCACAAAACTTTACAACTCTGTTGAATGTATGAGGAAGTGAAGACCAGTAAGAAACTAAATGGGCTGGGGGTGGGGTTCAGTAGTAAAGCAGAATTTTAGTACATACCAGACCCTGGGTTCAGTCCCCAGCACCAAAGAACAAAGCCAAATAAAGCAAAACAAAAACTCAACAACAACAACAAAAAACATATTTTCTCCCCTTTTGGGAATCCTGCCTGGGAAGTAGATTTGGCTTCGATTTGGCAAGCTATAAAAATGATGGTAGTGTATCTGCCCCAATTAAATTAAGAACACTCTATAAAATTATACTCTCTCACACTGAGTTTGTTAGGTGAATACAACGGTACAGGCACATAGTAATCATTCAATCATGGTTGATTATTTGGTACTATAGGAAGTGATTTTTAAGTGGACTCCCCAAACAGCCAAAAATTGAGTATTAGAATCTTTTTATGGAAAGTTATTCCACAGATAATTATATATTTAAC